TTTGTTTCTAAGTGGAACTGACACTTTAGTAGTCTGTTTTGTTTGTTCTATTTTGAAACTTAAATGCTTTAGCGGCTACCTTTTGTGTAGTTAGTAATATTTGCCTTTATTTTGCTTAAACTGAAGCCTCATTTTAAGTACATCTACCCTGTTGAACTTATTATGGGAAATAAATATTTAAATCAAAACAAGCAGCTGATTATTTCACATTTTACTTGTGAGCAACGGCACATTTAAATCTTACAAATATAGTTATTTGGCTTATATCGTGATATATATCGTTATCGCCTGAAATGAAAAAAGCATATCGTGATATGAAAAAATCTTATATCGACCAGCTCTACTTCAAGCTTTAAAATGATGTAAATATCATGGAAAATAAGCGGTTGTTTGTATTTCTAAAACAATAGGAGGCCTTACTTTTGGGATTGCCCTCGTACGACAACATAGCTACATAACAAATCAAGTTATCACTGGAACAACAACTTTTATGATCAGTAAAATAGCTTATACACCAGTCAAAGTGAAAACACAAGCAATGTATCCAGGAGGAGGTCCTTAAAGTGAGACTTTGAACAAGGACTTCTGAACCACTGAAGAAATGTTTCAATAATGTAAGCTTATTAATAAAATACAGTACAGCAGGGACAGAAACGTAGCACTGGTAAATAAGCATTAGCGAAACAAAGTCATTAATGGCGTGGTGAGAGTTTTAACATCCTATTTAACTTTTTACTTCTCCCGTGACAAATTGCATAACATCACTAATTTGAACAGGTGAGCATTGTCTGAAAAAGTAAAGTAATGATGGCTCTTTGGGGAGTCTATATAACACATGGCCTATTCTTCTTCTGTTCATCCTCTTTCCTGATTATGGAGAGTAACTGCTCTACACTGTGCTTTCCTGGGACAAGTGAGGCTTACAAATCACCCCTGCAGCAGTTGGAGGAGTTGAAGGCGCTCGGTGCAAGGTTTTACTGCCTGTCTTCTATGAATGGCTCCCTTAAGGCTCCTATGATAATAGCTCACAGCCGTGCCCTTCACGGAACCTGACATCAAGTACACCCCTACAGCTGAATGGGAAAGCATATCAACTTAGTCAATGGAGTTTCATATCAACTCACCCACTGGTTTCTGATGGTAACATAGGCAGAAACTGGAATGAAATCGTGGTAGCTAGAAGTTACATATCAGGTAGAAATTCACTCAGTATGAAACTTTTTTCAAAGGTCCTATCTCACTGGCTTCTTGCAATTTTTACTTGAAGAAGACTCCATACATCAGACAACTTTGATTTTAACTCAGTTTACTTAATTCCATATGTATTGTATAATTTCTTTTCTCCTTTTCCCCCTTACTTGCTTATTATTAGTGAAAACAAAGACAGCAGTTACTAGTCTCTGATCTTGTATGTTAAAGTAAATTAAATTTCATTTTAGAATAAGGGTAAGGTTAAAGCCTCTTTTGTGGGTGCTCATTTTAATATAAGCAGGAAATTAAAACTTAATTTAAATCACATGAAGCTTTCATACAGGTCATAGTAAGTAAGGGCTCGTGTCGTTTCATGTGTTTCAGTAATACACAAACTTTGTACTTTTTGCTTTGAGAAGAAAACAATTTTTGTGCACCTCTCCTGAAAAATTAACACCGCTTCAAACAGTCACATGGCCCACTCATTGCCACCAACATAACCAGAATTGGTCTTAACTTTCAGAGGTAAGTGAGTGGTTCGATAACCACACAAAAAGGAAGGACATACAAAAAAAGAGACATTCATCCATCCGGCCATCCATCATAACCGGTGCTACGGTGAAGCCAATTTCCACAAAGCTGCTAAGCTGATTGAGGCAGACCAAATCTGTTTCACCAGCTTACATTCCTTCAAAATGGCCATCTCACTTCCAATATCACGGGCTTTTACTGTTCCCCATTCCCTTGGCTCAGGCTGAGAGTTAGCAAGGCTTAGCTGGATGAAACACTCCAACAGCCCAGTTCTTCCCTGGAACCCACTGATATCTCTATAGCACAGCCTCTCCCCCATACTATAGCTGCACTTAGCTGGTTTATTTACTCATGCTATTATTCTTTCTCTATTAAATTTCTCAGCTTTATTTTTTTTTTTGCTTCATGTCACAACAATATTGCAATCATTAGTATATAAAGTAAAGATTTATGTGAATTCTGATGATTCCAGGCACACAGACACAATCTAATCACACTGCCTGTGTATACATATGCACACTCTGACAAAATGCACAGGCAGCACTTAACCACAACACCTTCCACTGGAGTAGATTAAATTCACACAAGACCTTTTTTGAAGAAGGAAATTGGACAGATAAGAAACCGTTTTTTAATGAAAAAACGCTTTTGAGGGGGTCTATAAAGAAAGATCGAGCAGGGAGGTGCAATAGGGATAGATGTTCACCTGTTTTTGTCACCTCTGTGCCTGCTGCATGCATGCACCACAATATACAGCATATTATTATCTATGATATTTATAAATCTCCAGTCATTACAGTGTCACATTTCCCTTCCCTGTCCCTTTCTCTCTGTCACTGTCTCACACATTTTCTGTCATTTGGCCACAACAGCAAATATCCTATTGGCCCAGGCTGCAGGTGCTGGTCTATCTGGTCCTGGGATCGATCCGGCTCCAAGCCGAGGCCTCCCATTCATCTCAGTGCCATAAAATGTGATTAGTGCTGACTACAGCACTGCGGGGAGATGGGCTGATAGGCATGATAGCCTCAGATAGACTGGGCTGGACAAGCTACAGGAAGACAGCAGCACGCTGTGGATCCCTCCTTGCCATTCTCTATGTTTTACTTTCCTTTTTTCCTTCCATTGTCACTTTACATTTGCTTTTTCCTCACTATCGTTTTGCCAGTCTCTTTGCTTCTTTCTATCTAATCAACTCTGTCTTTATATCTAGCTGTCTCCAGACTGTCTGTTTCTTTACTTTATCTCATTTTTTTCTACACCTGACAAGTACTGCTGTGCTGTGCACAAATTACACTGCAGCAGTCAAACTTGAATGCCAATATTGTCAGTTTTTCCATCTTTTTATTCTGCAATGTTATATTCAAATGATACAACAAGCCTTCATCCCCTTAAGCCACACACGGTGCACACACACGTGGTGTATCTCTTTGCCATGTGACCACGTCTGTCAGCCAATCACCAGCTCCAAGCTTGCCAGCGGCAGGAAGTTTGGAGGCTGTGACAAGAAGTGAGGTAGTAAATTGAACATTACCTCTACCACTAGCTCTGAGGGGGGGAAAGTTTCAACTTTCAAATGAAAAATGAAGTATGTAAGATTCAGGGAAGTATTGCGACAGATTACGCTGCACATGTTTAGGTGTGGACAAATGATAGAATATGACATATAATTGTGGATGGAAACTGATAAGAATTTAGCATTTCAGACTGCATTATCAATATCACCTATCAATTCAGTTCCTTATCGATTCTCATTGGTCTCTCATTCGCTCGGCTTTGAGAGTCACCGCCATCACTAAGCAGCATATCAAAGACATTACATCTGTGTAAACTAACTGCATGCTGTATGGTCAAATGTTTCTGAATGCTGGAGGTATTTTCCCTCTTTGTTGTGATCAGTGTAATGTGTAATGTATTACACATATTACACAGAATACTTTTTTTAAAAGTAATGCAGTACTTTACTCAATTACTCCCAGGGGAAAGTAATTTGTTATACTATTACACTGTAAACCTGCAGTCTACAGCCCCACACACCACCACAAATCCCTATCCTAATAAGAGTACATATATGATCTTAATCTTAGTATTTAGGTAGGAACAAAAAGCCGCCAGCGCCAAGCAAAGGTGAAATCCGGCCCACAAAGACTTTAAAGGGATCGCCACAGCAATTCTACTTTAGAAACATGAACAAGTAGAATCGAGGCTGCAGCTTCATCACTGCCTTTGTTACCTGTTAAAGTTTAGGGTCTGGCTGCTGGGCCGGTCAGCATTCACTCAACTATTAGGAACCCTCCCTCGTGCTTTACTCTCGCGCTGCTCCGTGTGGCAAATCGAGCGCACCTCTCTGCATTTCGAACACGTGTCACAACAATTAAGAGGACCCGAGGGAAGCTCGGAAAGCTAAGCAGAAGTTATTTGGAGAGGAGAGTGACTGCCGTTGGTTGAAAAGAGAGGTAAAAAAAAACTTCAGTGGTGTGGAAACATAATGGGTTCGCGGAGTCAGACATAGATCAAGTAGACATAGTGTGTAAACTTTGCTACAGTGTCGTAGCTGCACCACAGAGCAACACTGCAAAGTTCACTAAACATAGATGTTTACATTTTTCATTTATTTTTTATATTGCAAACATTTGCACTGTTATCAGTATTTGCACACTATTTTATATTATTTTTTGACAATCTTTAAAGTCATTATCCAATACATTGTTATTGTTAAATAAATATCGCCAAATAATCGAGATCTCAATTTCAGTGAAAATAATCGTGATTATCATTTTTGCCATAATCGAGCAGCCCTAGATATATGTAATATTAAAGTAAGAAGAGAAGTTGATAGTGATGCAAACATTGCTGTAAGTTTATAGTTGTTTGAGTATACACCTAAAAAAAAAATCTACATTAACCCTTTCATGCATGATTTATGACAACCTCAATCAGGATTTTTTTCCTCATATATTTATTCATCTTTAGGCATAAAAAAAGATTTTTGAACTTTTTTTTAAAAACGTGTACTATTTAAAGAGTTTTTTACAGGTGGACAACACACGTTTTGACAGTATGGAGTGGCACATCAGTGTCCAATATGTGCAAGTATACCATCAACACTGACACAAATACAAGAAAACAGCCTTTGAATAGCTGTCCACTATAATGACCACTATGTGTGAAAGGGATAAGTTAGATAGCACTGTCTATTCTAAATTAATTAATAAGTGAAGACGTGGGTACATACAGAGACAGCCAGCAAACACACTAAAAGGCCAAAGCACGCTAACCTGTGTCTCTCGGACATTCTCCACAGTGAAGTTAAACCACACTCTGAATCGGGGGTTGCAGGTGTCAGGCCGGATGAAGAGATCAAATTCAAACTCACTGATGTAGTCAACACGACCCAGGTTCCCTGAGGGGAAGAAAAAAACAACTTAGATTGGCATGTTGTAGAACTGATCAGTGATTCGCTTCTTCAGTATTGCTAAATCCTCTCAGTCGATATACACAAAACTTTACAGAAAGACAGGCAGGCAATCCCAAGACAAGATAATGCTGTAGAACAGCTCCTTTTAAATCTAAGACGTGCTTTTAAAGACACGTGTTCACATTAAATGTCATGCAGACACACAGGCCAACCTGTTTTATTAACAGCCACCCAAATATGCATATTATCAAGGTTTCCTATTCCTCAGTGAATTTATGGCAGCACAATAGCAACACTGACCATCATATATTGACGTTCTATTTTTTCTGCTACTGTACAATAGCAGAGTGAGTGAAATCTTTTCTCAGTGTAGAGCTGCTTGAAACATGCACAGCATCTGGATCAAAGAAGTGATCAATTGTGGAAGGAAGGAGTGTCGTAGGCTCTTCTTGTGCTGAGAAAACAGCTGGCTCTGTATCATAAACACCTCGGCAACAATTTTTACAAAACTGATGCACTGAAATTGACAATCACAAGTAGGGCTGGGCCATATCATACCGTTCACGGTAATACCGGTATAATGTTGGGCAACGATAAGAAAATGAAATATCGCGATAGAATATGGGTAAAATGTGCATGTGCAGTGCCTTTGTTTTCATATATATGGCCTAAAAAGCATGGCGGCGACGGAGAATGAGAAGGGCGAATTGTTGAATGAAACAGATGAACCAGAACTGGTTTGTAAAAATGCTGCAACTTCAATGGTGTGGAACTGGTTTAGCTTTTGTCTGTCAGATACACAACAAAGCACTATTTTTGGTAGGGCATGCTAGCGGGCCGTCGTTATTACCGTGTTTTTTGGAAAATACGGCACACTTAAAATCAATCCTTTTTTCTGAAAATCGACAGTGCCCCTTATAATCCCGTGTGCCTTATGTATGAATTCTGGTTGTGTTTACTGACCTCGAAACGATTTTATGTGGTACACGGCGCTCAGCAATCTGTCAAATGTGTTAGTACGACTTTGCTAAGCTATGAACCCGCACCGCTTGATGGATTGTCGGAGCATTACGGCTATCGTTGGCAGGAGCCTCGCGGAGTGAAACGTACTGTGCTTCAACATAATATTACCGTATTGTGTGTGTATAACCTCTTTTTAAGTTTTGTGGATATTAAACATGGTTATGCTGAGGATATGTCGGCCAGTTTCCACTGGAAATGCCTTTCGGTTAAACTGTCAGCAAGGAATTTGCATTTGCACTGTTAAGTTTTTATATAACTAATGCACATAAAAAACAGCTGCTTGTTTACGTGAAAATACGTTGATGGGTTTTTTTGCACTAACAAAGTTGTAGAGTTGTAAAGTATTTTGTCTAGTGTCAATTATATTGTCCGTTATCGCAAATTTTCAAATGTATATCGTGATAAATATCTTTGGTCATATCACCCTGCTCTAATCACAAGGTAGTCTATGGTCTTAACAAAACCCTCTCAGCATCAGAGACTCAACAGCAGCTATACTATGACGTAACTATGAGTTAATGTTAGAGTACAGATGAATTATGAAATCAACTGCTTGTTCATCTGGTTAAGTTTAATTCTGAATGTTTCTTATGAAAGTTCTCTCTCTCTCCTGCTGAATAAAAGTAAATATCACTGCAATCCACTCTGCCTGACAAAGCAGCAGGTCGGACTACGCTCCGTATTTTTCTGCAACCAAACCAACTTAATGCTCAAGTAGAATTACTCTCAGACATTTACTGCCATAGGTATGAGAAACAGAAAGACCACAGGGTGTTCAAGCAATCCATATTTGACACACAATATACTATTCACAGCAAAATTAATAAGAATAAAATACATCCATATGATCAGTGAAATATAATTAATCCACTGGGAAATATGTTCCATATTCCAATTCTCACAGCTGTCTTTAAGCTGGGTGGGTAGTAGCTGATTATAAGACAGGCTTTCTAAATATAGGGCTCATGTTTCTATTCTAATTCATATCTGCACACATTAATTGGAAACCCTTATGCACAAATTATTGGCTGCCAGTGTAAAAGCTAAAAAAAGAGCTAAAAGTCTGTTAGTCTTCTCAATAATAATAATGACTATATAACAGTTTATTCTTAACTCAATAAATGTGACCAATCATCTCTGTGATTTTAAGTATTAGAATGTAGTGCAGCATACGAGCAACAGCTGATCAAGTTTGTTGGGAACGTGTCCCGACCACTAGGCTCCACCTCCCTCGCAGCTTTATTTCAGGGCGTTGGGGTACTGCTGACCACCTGGTGGCAGGTAGTACCAAAGCAGCAGCACGCACACACTGACACAGCAGATTATAGACAGATGGGCTAACTACCACACTGTCAAAGCAGATCCCTCTCCTTCTGCCATCGGACAGCTAATCCACCAGTCAGCTTGTGACACACACACACATGCATACAGAGACCACACACCCACTTTGCTCTGCTCCACTGAAACTATACACAGACGTGCCATCATTAAGTTATATAGGACTGCAGAAAATCACCAGGTGCACTGACAAATAAACATTAATGCTTCCTCTGAAACTTTGTTTCGTGATGGGGGAAAAAAAGTGACTTTTTGGGATACAATTCATTTGATTCTGTTCTCCATTTATGGTGCGTCTCATTACACTAGGTCTTTGTTTTAGGCCTTTATGTTCAGCCTCATTGGCTCTCATGACCTATAGTCAACGAGGCAAGTATTTTTAAGTTATGTCTGATGACACAAGATGTGCGGCAAAAAGAATCAGTGAAGAAAGGGAAGTGAAAGTGAATGCAGCATTCCTGTAATAGCAAAATTGAGCACAAGCAAAACATTCGCTCATGTCACAGCTATAAATGTAAAGTTTTATTTCAATTCATACAGCACATAATGGAAATGCACAAGCAGTAAGAAGCAAACTGCCTGGTGTTATTGTGAAACAATAAGCTGATGACTGATTTGTATTTACATTTAAAGCCTGGCATCCAATAACAGCTTCCACTAATGGTGAGTGGCATCTCATTCCAACACACCAGTGCAGGAACGAAAATCTGTCTTTGTAGACCACTAGTCTGATTAGGGAGTGTCTGGGAAAAGCTATGACACAGTATATAAGTCTTGTACTTCATCTGCTTATTCAACTGAAATGTGCTGAGTCGAATTCATAGAGTATAAATCCCAAGAAAGTAAGGCAAGAGAGACAATAATAAATGTAGACGTGCAGTCTCTGGAAAGGAGAGAGAGGCAAAGAGTGTCGATTCATGACCTTTATCGTGTCCAACTTACAGGTGCTAAAAGAAGGATTGCAAAGAAAGTCAGAAGGTGTGTATTTAGCTGTGCATGTATAAAGAGAACTACATGCACCAGCTCTGTTCAGCCAGTTTAGGAGGAAAGATTATAGAAATACTGTCACAACAAAAAGGTGGAACAATTAAAAGAAAGACAAACAAGTGTTTCTAAGATGACCTTTTCTTGTGATCCCCAAATTATTGTCAACATATTCTTTGAGGGAAAATATTTTCCATTAGTCTTTTGTACATTTTTTTTTAAAGTATTTAACCAAAGGGGGAAAAAGTTTACTGTACATCCTGGCACATTTATCACGTGTTCATGACAACAGTGACCTGTAGCAATATGGAATGAAATATTCCAGAAAAAAACCCCTAAATTCATCACATGAAAAGCACAGCTGTTTGGGGGGTAGGCAAGCATGCACTAGGTTTCTCACACTAAGCTATTACAAGCTGAGGGTTAAACCAGAGCTGGCTGCAGGTAGAAATCAGTAACATAGACACATTAGATAGACAGCAACGCAGCGCCATCTCCAAACAAATGTGACATTAAATCGATCGTCTGTCATACCAACATCACAGCTATTCATAGAGGCAATGCTGCCAAATACAGCCTATTAGAACAAGTTAATAATGACCTCCAAAGGTCATCCCTTCTATCAGACTCTTAATAATGTTATTCAATATTGAAAACCCAACCATTCTCTGAGGGCATTTTAATTATTTATTTGGGGTCATTACTCTTTTAAGATTTTAGACTTAGTAAGTGCTTTTAAACCATTATATGAGGGATCAATAGGTTGATTTTTTTTCCTCTCTGTTGTGATTAGATCATTACTTACTACCAACATTACTTAACCGAACAGTTAATTGGAAATAAACTAAAAATGATGCCGAGATTTTTCCTTTAAAGCGTTTAAAATTTAAATAGGTAGCTTAATGGCCGTGACCACAATTTCATTTGCTTTCTCAGGATTCAGAGGCTCCACTATAATTCCTTATTATGGACAAATTTTTACAAAACACTGCACTGAAAATGAAGTGGATTATAGTAGGTGGATTGTAGTCTGGCTCAAAATAAACATTGTCTTAGATAAAGAAAGAACATGACTATATATATAAATATATATGTTCTTTCTTTATCTAAGACATTGTTTATTACAAACCAGGCTATAATATATCTATATATAGATTTGTAGCACACCATTTGCACAGGTTTCCCAGGATTTTTCCCCGTGTATTCGTTTGCTAACAATAAGTATTAACATTTCTAGTTGATGAAAGCCATCAAAACCCAAACACACTATGCAATAGCTAAACTTCTGCACAGGAAACAGATACTAAACTAAACGTGGTCCACTGCTGTTTATGAATACAGTATCATAGTTAGCAACAGTAGCCCTGGGCGGCTGGGTTATTGAGCCTAATGCTCGAAGGCCTGACGTGAGAGATGGCTGCAGCATGAAGTTTAGAATTACATGTTCAGCTCGCAGAGCAGTAGGGATATGACACGCCATTGATCCCCGTTTTAATTTTATGGTGGCTACCTCCAGATTCAAACGCTTTGGTAGGCTGGTACTGGTAGTCTGACCCTTTTAATCAATCCTATATCATTTTGTATTTAACCAGCATTAACGGCTAGCTGATTTTTCTGAAATGCCCACGGAAAGCATTAAA